TCCATTGACTCCTCCAGCTTAGCTCTGCCCCACCCCTCTTCTCTCTTCTCACTCCCAAGGCCCCCATCTCTCTCTCCACACTCAGTGGTAAGGGAAATATTTAGTGCCTGAAGGAGAACTAACAAACTGCTTCTTCCTCAGAGGAGAGAGTAAACAGTGAAGGAAATCCCTTAAAACCTTCCCTAACTTCCAACTACCACAGAAAAATCACAGTCTGGACAGTCATTCAGATCCAAATTCAGCTTGATCAGTGTTTGATAAGGTTTCCAAAGTGGACATTTGGGCCAAAACTATCACACTTAGATAAAAACCAGTTAAATAGAAAATTATTTCAATTCTTCATGTCACTCTAACCTTTCCTTTTAGAAAGATCCCAATTATTATTTAATCATGCCCCTAATTATTCACTCAAGATGAAAGTTTACATCCTGTTGATCTATCTAGATCCCAGAAGTCAGGTTCAACCCCTTCCCCCTCTGGGAAGGATAGTTTCTAACCTAATCCCTTATGGAAAAAGAGACAACCTCCTCCTTAGAAAACTTTTCCCAAATATTTGAAAAATCAAGAAGTTCTTTCTAATATACAACCTCAAACCTTTCTGCTGCAATTTTAATCATTTGGGTTCTTTATAGATATAAAATATTAGGCTTTAGTTTTCAAAAAGATCTTTAGTTTAGAAGAAAATCCTTTGCCCAAATAGAGTCAAACTTCTCAATTCTCAATGAAATTTTCACATGATAAAGTAAATATTGCATAATATATGGTGATATGTTACATGAAAATATAGCACATATACTATTCTATGATCACATATTTCCATATTTTAATAATGCTAGTTATATTAAAAAACAGAAGAATGACTCATACTATTTCAGAATGTGTATGTAAGGTTAATGTCACACATTTAGAGCGTTCTCTATGGTTTATATTTTCTTGTTTGCTTTATTCCTACTGACAATGCAGTGAAGTAAGTAGTATTAAACCCATTCTTCTTCTCTGAGGCTCAGACTCAGAGAAGTCAAGAAACTTGTCCAAGGTCATAATGCTAAAAAATGGCCAAGTAAGGACTTGAACACAAGTATTCTGGCCCCAAACCTGGTACTAATCCCATTACAATATGTACTGCCCACAGTCTAGGATTCTCAACCAGATTCATGATGATTTAACTGGTATGTATTAAAAGAAATGACATCGAATTCAGACTTCATCCTTCCTCCAAGGGCAACAAAAATCCATATCTTTGTTTTTTTAATTTTATTTTTTCAACACCACAGGAGCCCACATTGCAAAAAGAGCCATTTCTTATAGTGAAAAAATTACAACCCTGAATATTGTTATAGTTCTTAAGCTCCAAACATTGATCTTGGGTTTGGCCTCCCAAGATTTGGGAGGTGGTGTAAGATTGCACCAAGCTCTTGTTCTCAGAGTGTGTCTGGAGGAGGAGGAAAAAGAATCAATGGGGCCAGGTGCAGTGGCTCATGCCTGTAATCCTAGCTCTCTGAGAGGCCAGAGGCGGGCGGATTGTTTGAGCTCAGGAGTTCGAAACCAGCCTGAGCAAGAGCAAGACCCCCGTCTCTACTAAAAAAATAGAAAGAAATTAATTGGACAACTAAAAATATATAGAAAAAATTAGCCGGGCATGATGGCACATGTCTGTAGTCCCAGCTACTCGGGAGGCTGAGGCAGGAGGATCGCTTGAGCCCAGGAGTTTGAGGTTGCTGTGAGCTAGGATGACGCCATGGCACTCTAGCCCAGGCAACACAGTGAGACTCTGTCTCAAAAAAAAAAAAAAAGAATCAATGGGCTCTACCTAAGAGCTTCTCTTCTAGTCCCTTTCAGGTCTGGGGTCTGAGGAGAGGAGATAGAGACATTTAAGGCCTCAGCAAAGAACTGTTAGATTGCTCCTGCCAACCCCCCAATGAAAGCAACTTCCTCCACAGAAAGGATCATCATCTGAGGTTTAAACTTGTAACATTGCCCTGTTCTGGTTAAAATGGTCTCCCTGCCTTGCATTCTCAGTATAATATGGACCAACAACCCTCAAAGATAATTTCGGTTTTAAACATGTCTATTTTTTCTCTTTGCTCTCTTATATGTAAAGCAGATCATATAAACTAGGAAATAAACTTTATTTCACTCTGGTGTTTAGTGCACCCAAACCCTCTCTAGTGAATTTAATTTAGTTAACCAAAAAATCCTCTAGTCCATAGATTACTCCTTCAGCTGGTGAAGCTTCTTTTAAGGAGGAGGAGCTTGGGAACCTACGGAGCCAAGTTGCTTGGTTCTCCCAATCCTTTCTGCTGGAGCTGGGAACTTTGGGAAATTTTTAAATACCTGCTACACAAGAGAAGGTGGCAAGACCTAGGGATGCATTGGAGAGCATAGTGAACTTGAAGGACTGAGAGACCAAAGCAATCACTGCAATGCACAATATAGCTTGAGGCACTTTTGCCCCAGCCTTTTCTACCTGTCATTAATAAAAGACTATTGGTGACTTCAGCTGTTGTAGAGGGGATGCATTTCCCCAACTCCCAGACAGATCTGTGCTGCCTTATTAACTGATTTGAAATTTGCTTTTTCCATTAGACCTCAAATTATTCCTTTCCTTGGGGGGGGGGCAAGAGATAGGGTGAGAAAGTTCTCCCTGGGATGAAGAAAAGGTGGAAAGTGAAGAAGGTTCAAGTCTCTCAGAAGCGGGATAACCAGATCAGATATAGGCCTAACTCAGATTTGGGGTTAGAAGACAAATCCTAGTTCCCTCCACCCAAAGTCTTCTCCAAAGGTCTCAGCCTGTGTGTAGGACATCTTAAAATGAGAGGAAAGAGTTGGGAGTATCTACAAATCCCTCCCCCCAAAAAAGGTGAAATGGAAAGAAATAAGCTTGCTCCCATCTCAATAATCCTTTTCTCTTCAATCTCTCTACCAGGCCACTCCCCCCTCCCCCCACCTCAGTTCTCCTTCCCTTTGTCTGCTCTCATCCCTTTGGCAAGTGAGCATTCTCTCACTCTCCCCCATTGCATCTCTCTTAAGGAGTTATCAGCTGGACACCTTCCCCCAACCTGGAGCTGGGTCCGAAGCAGAGTACACAGAGGGAAAGGAGATAGGGGTTCTGTGACTTGCTTTGAGCTCTTTCATAGCTGGGGGCTAAGCCAGGCCCACAGTTATTAGAGAAGAGAAGGGCAGTGTGATGCTGGTGACAGAACAGAAAGCAGGAGAGGGGACCGTAGAGAAGGACAAAAAAACCCAAGGGGGATGGGAAACAGAGGATGGAGAGACACAGAGACTGAGAGAGACAACTTTGGAGTCACTTGGAGAGGGTGGAGTACTCACCTTACCCTTTCTGGGGTGGGGAAACTTAAGAAGTTTTGAGGGTCCTCACTGAACCTGTCCCACCTGCTCCCCCATCCTCTCCTCAACTCAGTTGTTTACAGAGATCCCTCCCTGAACTCTTGCCCTCCTGGACTTGCCGGAGCTCCAGCGCCAGGCCTCCATCCAGGCAGACACCCTGACAGGTTACAAATGAGTGTGGGTGTTAGATTGCGCCAAACTCTTGTTCTCAGAGTGTGTCCGGAGGAGGAGGAAAAAGAATCAATGGGCTCTACCTAAGAGCTTCTCTTCTAGTCCGTTCCAGGTCTGGGGTCTCAGAGAGTGAGGAAGGCATTTCCTGTTTTCCTCCCCAACAGACAGTGAAGAAGAAAGGGGTGAGATTCCACCCCAGAGCCTTAGAAGTCAGAGCCTCAGGGTGACCACACTGATTCTCCCACTCTCTGAGCAAACTCCCTTTATCAAGTCTAGAAAATTCACTGAAAATTTGAGTAATCTTTAAGATTTAACTGGTATTGAATTTATGGATTTGAGGCTTGGATTTTTGTTTTTTGTTTTGTTTTGTTTTGTTTTGGAAGGGGATGAAGGGTGGTGACAGGGAGAGGAGAGGAGGGAACCAGAAGAATGTAGGGTCTCCACTAGTTTTAAACACTTCAAGAACAGAATAAAAATTCGCCTCCTCTTCACCCCCCTGTAAACATCACCTAACTCTGCTCATTGTAGCTCTCTGGAGAGATATAGGGAGTTATTTAAGTCTGAGTGAGTGAGCCAGCTACAGCTATGGATGGCTAGAAAGAGGATAAATACATCTAGAGAGATGAGTTGATGGATAGGTAGGGAGCGAATATAAATATGGAGAAAGATGGACGAACAGAGAGATGGATTGAGACAGAGAGAAAATAAAGAGAGGCTGAGGGAGAGAAATGGATGTGTGAATGAGGAGAGAGCGCTTATACAGAGAGATGGAGAGAGGAATGGGGCGTTTCTCATCCTTTTCTCCACATTTCTGTAGTCCTGCCTTGCTCCCTGAAATGCCATTTTCCCACCCCTCACTTAATGAATTCTTCCTCTAGATTCCAGACCCTGCCTCACACCCTTAGGTGTTTTTGCAGCCCCTCCCTTCACAGTCATCCATTTGGCCCAAGATAACATACCTCACTCGGCTGTCCTAGCCCATCAACCCCAGACAAATTGGGAGAAAGAAACATGGAGTAGAAGTTCTGGGCAAAATACGGAGGCTAGATTCCCACCTCTAGGTCTTGGGGGGAAGGTTTCTTTGAGGGGTGGGAATGGTGAGGGGCAGCTGGGTTGAATTTGTCCAAATCTAATAACCCAGGAGCCTATTGAAGGCCTTGGGGGCTGGGAGGGGAGGAAAGTCTTGAATATTCTTCTAACTTTCCCCCCCTCTCCCTCTGGTCCCTTCTTTCCAAAAGTCTTTGAAGAAAGATGTTTTTGACGCTTCCATGTCGCTCTCAGATGGATGGGCTGCGGGTGATTGAAGTGTCTTTGTCATGCTAATGCTTGGGGGGTGATGGATGGGCGCTGGGGCTGCCAAACTCTGGCCCGCTTTGCCCATTGGCCTGGGAGAGATCACATGTGCCCCCCCACCCCCACTCCCTACCCCCTTCCTAGGGGAGTGTTGGCCCAGGCGAGCTGGGCCAGGCCATGGATGCGAGCCTCAGCGCTGTGACATACTGCCGAAAGGTTGTAGGGCAAGAGGGTGTCTCCACCAAACGGGCCGACCCTCCTGCGGCCTCGACGCATGGACTATAATAGGATGAACTCCTTCTTAGAGTACCCACTCTGTAATCGGGGACCCAGCGCCTACAGCGCCCACAGCGCCCCAACCTCCTTCCCCCTCAGCTCAGCTCCAGCCGTTGACAGCTACGCAGGCGAGGGCCGCTATGGCGGGGGGCTCCCCAGCCCCGCACTCCAGCAGAACTCGGGCTATGCCGCTCAGCAGCCGCCTTCAGCGCTGGGGGTGCCCTTCCCCAGCTCCGCGCCCTCGGGGTACACCCCGGCTGCCTGCAGCCCCAGCTATGGGCCTTCTCAGTACTACCCTCTGGGTCAATCGGAAGGAGACGGAGGCTATTTTCATCCCTCGAGCTACGGGGCCCAGTTAGGGGGTTTATCCGACGGCTACGGAGCCGGTGGAGGGGGCCCGGGCCCGTACCCTCCGCCGCAGCCCCCTTATGGGAACGAGCAGGCGGCGAGTTTTGCACCGTCCTACGCTGATCTCCTCTCTGAGGACAAGGAATCGTCCTGCGGGTCAGAAACCAACACCCCCACGGCTCGGACCTTCGACTGGATGAAGGTTAAGAGAAACCCACCCAAGACAGGTAGGGCTCAGACGTGGCCACCCCCTCTCCGGGGCCCAAAGTAGCTGCACTGCCCCTGCAGTGAGATGGCCTGGGCTGGGTTCTTCTTTTTCAGCCGCCCTGATAAAGGCAGGTAAGAGCATTCTCAGGTCAGGTGAGGTCTCCCTACCCAGTACCAGCCGGGTCACCCCCAAGAGTAAGTCTCCATACCCACGCCACTTCCAGATCTGTGCACCCAGCACAGGCCCAGGACCTGACGTGCGTCGGGGTCGGGGGTGGAAGTCTAGGGGAGGCGGCTCCAGATTTGGAGATCACCACTGGGGTCCCTGGTGATCCGTGGGAACTTTAGAGAACTGAAGGTGGACAGAATGGTGAATGGAGGCGCAGAGCCGGCCCGGGAGGAGGGGAGGAGAAGGAGAAAGAGGTGAGAGAACTGACGTGGCCTTTCTCCCTGCCCCGCCCCTAGCGAAGGTGTCGGAGCTGGGCCTGGGCGCGCCCAGCGGCCTCCGCACCAACTTCACCACGCGGCAGCTGACCGAGCTGGAGAAGGAGTTCCATTTCAACAAGTACCTGAGCCGGGCACGGAGGGTGGAGATCGCCGCCACCCTGGAGCTCAATGAAACGCAGGTCAAGATTTGGTTCCAGAACCGGCGCATGAAGCAGAAGAAGCGCGAGCGGGAGGGAGGCCGGGTGCCCCCAGCTCCACCAGGCTGCCCCAAGGAGGCGGCAGGAGATGCCTCGGACCAGTCCACATGCACCTCCCCTGAAGCCTCGCCCAGCTCCATTACCTCCTGATCTGAACCTCACAACCCACGGGGCTTCCAGGCACTGGAGCTCCCCAGTCCAGCCTGCTCCCATGCTCTCCCCAACTGGGGTCTCGGCCTCACTGCCCGGGTGATCCTCTCCAGGGCTGGGACAGCAGTTTAGAGCTGGGGAGGGGGGACCTTTTTCTGAGATCTGGGTGGGGAACTAATGGCTAGGGACCCTACAGGACCAGAGGCCTGGCGGGCACTGAACTTGTCAATGTGGAGGGAAGGCCTTTCATCTGGGGATCAGCTCACTCTCAACATGTTGGGGGGGAGGAGCCAGCCCCATCCTCCTGGATTGTCTTTTCCCTTCCAACTTCAGTTTATTCAGTTTAGTGCCTTTGAGCTTCAAGGATTCTCCTTATGAACTCGTATCCTAACTCCCTCTTCTAGGCCCAGGACAGACGGAAGGCCTTGAATGTTCTTGTGTGGGAGCTGTTTGGGTGCTGGCATATTATCACCAATCCTTAATCCAGTCACCACAGACCTTACAATAGCACCAGTTGCCTTGTGACAGACCAAAAAGCTCCCCATCTAATCCTATTAACCCTCTCCTGGCACATTTGTATTGCACTAATGCAGCTTCCAGAGGTGGTTTTCTGAGACCTGCGTCCTCTCACCAGCGACCTCATCACTAAGTCACCAAAGTGTTTTGGAACTTGGTACTCCAGAGACTTCTGGAACGCTGTGCAAGGCCTGCCCCCACCAAACCTCAACCAGGAAGGCGCAGGCACGCCCCCGCTAGTTCCTCCCCTATTTATTGCCTCCTGGAAAACCCAGGACCCTCTTCACCATCTCCACCCTACCCCTGGGGGCAGCCAGGAAGGCCCAGGTACTGTGAGGGCTCCCAGTCACAGCAAGCAATTCTCTGAACCTTGGAGATAGTGGAGGCACCATCCAAGTTTCTGGAAACCTGAGCCGCAAGCAAGCCAGCCTCTCTCTGTACCTCCAACTACCTCATTTCAATAAAGTCTGTGTTTTTCCCCTCTTCCCGCCTGCTTCTGCTCCTCCGTCTAGGGGTAGAGGAGGCCTGATACTCCAAAAGCCCTGGGGAAGAGGTGAGGAAAGAGTGGTTGCTGGCTGGTTGGGCTGGAAAGAGCTGAGCTTTAAGATCTCAGCAGGATAAAGAGAAGGACTTACTGGGCACGGGCCTAAGCAGAATAGGGCCCCAGGCCCCCAGGCCTGACAGTGTCAGTCCACTGATCATTGGGAGAACTCAGAAAGGCATGGAGGAAGAAGACCGGGGAGATCAAACAGTTCCCAGAGGGTCTTGAGAGGAAGACAAGAAAGAGGAGAAACAGATCTGTTTGGAGAGCACAGAAAGAGGGTGCAAAAGGAGGAGGACGTGCGGGAGAAGGCGAAGCAAACTACCGCTTCCCTCCTCCTCAACTCCCTCCGTCCCGCCCAGAGCAAGGCCTGGCTTAGACCCATGGGTCCCTGAAAAATTTGACATTGGCATTAACCCCACCGCCCCACGCCAACCCAGCGCCCTTCCAGTGACTCCGCGGGGATGTCGGGATCCGAGTAGCTGTGAGAGTCTGGCCTCAGCCCGCCCTCCTCCAAAATGCCTTTCCGCTGGGGCTCAAGGTGAACGCCCTCGGTCTCCGGGCCCTGGACCGCAGGAAGGAGGTGGCTGTGAAAGGGCCTGGTTGGGGGCGGGGTAGGGTGCGGGAGAAAGGGCTGATAGCCCGAGGCGGGGGAAGGGGAGGCCGTCGGAGGGTGGGGAGGGAGAAGTCGTAGGACCGTCCGGGGTCTGGGGGTGGGCGGAGGCGACGGAGGTAAACCCGGATCCCGCTCTGACCTTTTTACCTCGAAGCGCCTCTGGGCTTTCCAAACAAGCTAACAGCGCGGCCCCGGGGGCAGCTATTGTCTCCGGGAGGGTCCCACTGGCAAACCTTTCGTCGGCAGACGCGGGGGGCCGGGACTCGGGAAGCTGCGCGGCGGCCAACAAACCGCCATCGCTCACTAGCCGCGCGGTGCCATCGAGATGACGCGGGCCTGCGGGCTCGGGCCCCGGTTTATTGATTCCGGTTACCCCGCGAGCCCATGTGCCCCTCTGGCAGGACAGCCTGAGGGGAGAGAGGTAGCGGCGACCAAGGTGGGGTTTCTTATCCACACTGCCATCTCTTTAATTCGTGACCTTCAAGGGAAGACAGACAGCTAAAAGGAGCAGGAATGTACGTAAGCAACGTTGAGCATTTGCTTCCTAATGAAATTGGTGCCATTATAGGAGAGGCAACGTTATCAATAATTGCACAGCCCAGCTGGAGAGGAAGAGAAGTGTTTTGCAAGAGGAAGCCTAGCTTTCCCAGAGGCTGATGTCTTGCCCTCTGTCTTTTAAAAATAAATCTATTAACTGCTTTTCTGCATTTAATTGAAATTGCCACCAAGCTTGGCTTGCCCAAAGGGGTCACCTTGGCAGAGGGGAAAAGAGTGAGTGTCTGTAGAAACAAAACTCCCTTTGCTTGGAGCCATTCAGTGTGAGCCAGTAGAGCTTTCTGGTTGGGGTATTTGTGGACCCTCCAAACTTTGGACAAGTGAGCAAGAAAGCAGGGAGGAGGAGGAAGGTGCAGTGGTTAGAGCAAAGCCCACAGTAAGGAAGGATGGTGGAGCTGGGTTGCAGACTGGGGCAGACAGGTCCTGGGGGAGGGGTGACGGAAGGGCCGGGAGGAAAAGGGAAGGCTGGCTGGCTTGGTTTTTGGTGGTAGCAAAAGGAACTATCAGATTCTACCAGGGAAGGATGAGGGGCAAATCAATTCTCCGTTAACACAGGGGCGAACTGAAAATAGTCTACAATGAATCTGAGCCTCTCATCTTAGATGCAGAGATCCTGACCCCTTCCCCACTTTGCACTCTCCTACTTGAGTCCCACTTCCAATATGAGGCCCCAGGCAGGTCTACACTGAAGACATTTATTTGGAGAAAGAAAAGATCATTGCATATTTTCCTAGCATAAATGACAAAAGGAGTCGATGGTAAACAAACAAAAACACATTTTGTCCCCATCGAGCTAAACTGATGGTCTTGTTAAACTTTCTCGAATGGAAGCCAAACTGCTTCGCTCCTAAACTCCTCAAAGCCTTTGAGATTGATGGTTTTTTCACCGTCCTGAGGAAGGGAGGGATTCTATATACCAGGAGATCTGAAAGTACATTTTTTGAAAAATTTGAAAACACTCTACCCCCACATCTCCATTTCCCAGATCTCAAAAAATATCTCCAGTTTTGTAAATAAAAATCTTGAGGGTTTTTTTTTTTTTTTTGTCTTGATTCTTCACAGGAGGAGCATTCACAGGGCTGGTTAAAAGTTTGTCAAGCTCTCTGACCACCACCCCCACCAACCTGGCAGTCCAATTGAGGGGGGACAGTCAAGCCTCCACTCCACCCAAGCCTCAGTACCATCTGTTTCTCAGCCCAAGTGTGAACTTTTTCTCTTTCCTTTGCCATTTTCCTGGGCGTTTGTTCTCCAAATGTGAGGCTTTTTGATCTCCTGGACAAGAGAAAAAGAAAAAGAGGTTTTTAAAGCCCTGAAGTTCTTCTTATGTTTAATGTGGGTTCCTTTGTTGTGAATATTTTTTGTACCAACACCACTGGGCTGCTGGAAAGGGGTTGGTGGGATGGGGCTTGGAAAAGGGTGTGGATAGGGAAGCTTGGGAGGAATTTCCAGTTGACCAAATGACGGAGGTCAAAATGAGTCAGAGTGCAGAACCAAGGAGTTGGGGAAAACATCTAGGAACGTGGGTTCAAATCCAAGCCCTGCCTCTCCATAGCCAAGTTGCCTAATTCCCCGTGCCCGGTTTCATTATTTACAAAATGGGAATAATAACATCTACTATCTTATGGGGTTGATGTTAGGATTAAATTAATATGAATATGTGTAAAATGCTTGTAATAGTCCCTAATAAATAGATGTAAGCTATAACAATTATTATCATTATAAAAAGGAATATGTGTTCTTCCCTTTCTATAGTCTCTATTCCAGAGCATAGCTTGACTATGCCCACTTCTTATACTCATATCTTGTTTGATTCCTGATAGGTGTATTGGGTTAGGGACAAATAGAAGGGATTCCCTCCCCAGCAGCTGAGAACCCTCACCTGTAGAGAAGAAGCGTTATCCTCACGTCCCATACCCTTTCCCTTCCTTTTCCATTATGGGAAGATGGACAAGAAGTCTGGAAGATACTTCAGGTTCCTGATTTAGGGCAGTAGAGGGCAGGGGTTCTGGAGTACAATTTACTTTTCAAAGTGTTCCCCTCGTATTAGCTGGGTGAGCACCTGCCAGTGGCCCAGCTTCCCTGTGCTCCCATTTCTTCAGATGTACCATGCAGGATGTTGAAGAATAAATGATATAGATGAGAAATGCTTAGAACACTGCCTGGCACATAGAAAGTGTTCAGTAGCAATTTCCTATTTTATATATTCACATAAGACATTTTTCTGTTACTTTCTTACACTGAGTTATTCTTGGTCTCGGCATGATGGAAGCAGATATCCTCCAGCCTTGGCCCCCTGCACTGCACCGGCAGACCCGCCCGGCACCATAACTTGGGACTTGCTGCTAGGAAATAAAATAATTATGAACTGAATTAAAGGGGTCAGGGGAATCCCACAGACTACTGGCTTACAGTAAATACAATATCATAATGAGGGATGCTCTTGCCAGGACAGCCTCACTGCATAAACCTGGGAGAACATTCTCACTGTAGTCCATAAGATTGGCGCCCCCTGCTACTGTACCAGATTGTTTTTTGTTTTTTTTTTTTTTTTGGTTACTCAGTCCTGACTCTAAGGACTTCCTTGCATGACCTTCCTTGAATGACTCAACCAGAGTATTCCAGATGCTTCAGTTTTTGCTGTTTCCCTGGTTCTCAAAATGCTTTCTATAATCAGAGTGTGTCCTGGGTAGGACAGGAGCTGGAGATGTAAAATGCTTAATGTCCATTCCTGGGAGAACGGGGAGGCTCAGGAAGCAGCAGACTTCAGCCCAAAGGCTGACCTCCTGATCCTCATCCACTCTTATTCTCTTCATTGGGAAAGAAATGGCTCAAATACTTCAGCAAAGATACACAGGATTTTGTAGAAGTCAGGAGTCCTAAGTTTTC